TTTTACTGGTGATAACAGGTTACCATTATATTAACTTCGCAAAAAAACCCTTAAGTTTATAGTTTTTTTTACGTTTTTACCCTTAAGTTTATAATTTTTTGTACACTTTTACCCTATGTATTTTTTTTTCATATTATACGTATACAAACAGAAAAATCATATTTATATACGAAAAAAATTTAATTAAATAGGGTATTTACATTTTTTTAATGTTAGTTATATATATATATATATATATATATATATATATATATATATATATATATATATATATATGTGTGTGTGTGTGTGGTGTATGTGTGTGTGTGGGTTTTTTTTGTTGGATAAACCATTTAAAATGTAAAAAAACAAATTAATATGTTTTTAGAACTACAAATACGTATTTTTATGTATTTAAAAATATACATATCAATAGGAAAACTTGTTCATTCATAAACATGTTTATATAAGTATATATATATATATATTTTTAGAAATGTAAATATGTATTTTGATATATGTTTTTTTAAAAGTATAAATATATTTTTAGAAGTATAGATACATAATATATAAAAATGGTAAAAATGTATTTATACTTCTAAAAACTATATCTATAAAACACATATTCATAATTCTAAAAATATTATTTTATCTTTTTAAATGGTATAACCATGAAAAAACACACACACACAAACAAACAAACAAATATATATATATATATATATATATATATATATATATATATATATATATATATATAACATTAAAAAAATATAAATACAATATTTAATTAAATATTTTTTCGTATATAAATACGACTTTTCTGCATGAATATGTTTATTATGAAAAAAATATACTTAGGTAAAAGTGTAAAAAATTTATAAACTTAAGGGTAAAAACGTAAAAAAATGGTAAACTTAAAGGTTTTTTTGCGAATTTAATATAATGGTAACCTGGAAACCTGTTATCACCGGTGTTAAAAAGGGTTAAACCGAACATTTTTTCGAAAATGTTTGGGTAAAAACGGACATAAATTTCAACTTTATGCAAAACCGACAAAACTCTGAAAACTTGATGATTTTTATGACATTAATATTCGAATTGTAGCCATTATTAAAAAAATATATATTTTTTTTAAAAGAAAAAACCGTTGGTTCCTCACTCAAATCCCGCTCCGCCTATCCCGCACCCTCGGTATTGTGTTCCGAGGTGCGAGAATGTCTCCTGCTCACCTTTCCCGCTATGTACCTGTAGCCTAAGAATATTCAAAACCAATTGAGCGTCTTGATGAATATGTTATTTATGGAGATTGCAAATGCCATTAGAAAAAATCAAAAAAATGTCTTTGAGAAAATAATGGGGTGAATGGTAGAAATAAACTCAAAACAAACTATCTAGTAGCACTACAAAAACAAGTCTAAAATTCTCATAGTATCTTATGCGTTAGAAAGGTAAAATAATACAATATTGTTTATATCACAAAATAAGAAGCAACCAATAGCTACTTTCATCGCAAAAGTCAAAAGCCAAAAGTAACCTGTCCTAAAATATTCGGTTAAAGCATGGCTCGCAGTCCTATCAATACTAGAGGTGAATAAACCGGTTTAGATTATTGGATAACGGAAAAAAAATGAACTAGATTTTAGTATATTTGGTCCGGATAAATCGGATCCGTTGGATATGAATCAAATACTTCAGATTTTGAAACCAATATTAAGAAAAAAAATCTATATATATATTCTATCCAAAATCCGAAAAAGGGTAAATTTATCCACTGGATTATCCGAAATCCAAATCCAACAAAAATTCTAAAAAAAACGGTTTAAATCATCGGAAATATAGGAAACCCCGATTAAAAAAGATATGGTTTTATGAACCTCTACACAGTAGTAGGTCTGACAATTGTGTCGTATTCGGGTTGGCGGGTTGGGGGTTGGCGGGTTGGCGGGTCAAAATTCACCAACCCGAACACGACACATTTAACTATACAAGTCACGAGTTGGCGGGTTTTGAACATAAACTCATATATGACCCGTCAACCCATTTATTTATATGGGTTCAGAGGTTGGCGGTTTGTGGGTCAGATGTTCCAACTATATAGAATTCTACTCAGGTGCCAACTAGTAATTGGAAGTCAATACTCAATCGCAGGTTCTTCGTGAGTTCAGGGCTTCAGGCGGGACTCACTTTTAGGGCTTCAGGCGTCGGTGTCGTTCGATTCATGCTACCGTTTTTGTCGTTCATCACAGAGGGGAGACTAGGAGAGTGTTGCTTATTCGATTTTGTTTGTGTCTTTGTGAGTACTGAGATTATTTAGGACAAGCGTCAAATGACAAACGTGTTGCACATATCAAATGGTCAATGATATCCTATCTTAGTCGTATAAACTGTATAATACTTAAGTCTTAATACATTTAAAAAAATATATAATTTTTTTTATTAAAATTCTAAACGGGATGGTGGGTTAACCCGTATATTTTTTGAAAAACTCATATATGACCTATTTAATAAACGGGTTGGTGGGTTGACGGGTTAGCGGGTTGGCGGTTAGATAAACTCAACCCAAACCCGTTTATTTCGTGTCGTGTCACGTGTTGTGTTGCAGGTCGTGTCGAGAATTGTCAGGCCTACTACACAGTACGGTCCTAAACTATCTTAAATAAAACCCAACTAAAGCATGATGTTCATGCGCGGATCCACAATAGCTCTCGGGGTATCCCGGGATACCTCTCAAAAAAATTTCGGTAGTATAATTTTTTTAGAAAAATTTTGTTTTATGTAGTGTACATATACATAATATTAATATGTTTAGCGAGATAATAAAACAAGATGTAATTGGTTCAGATGGTTAAGGCAGTAAAGGATGTTTTTTGAGGTTGTAAGTTCAAATCTTCTTCCAAACATTTATTTTCTTTTATTTTTGCAGCTCCTTTTATATAACTTTATACAAATTATACCTATTATATTATGATGTTGTGAAAATTAAGGACAAGTATTGAGTTGTCTAAGTGGTAAAGTGTTGAACTTTTAAGTTTGAGGTCTTTATTTTGAATCTTGGCTGTTACATTGGTGTATTTTATTTTGTTTATCAGTTTTTCAACTTGTTTTTTTAAAATTTTAAAATTGTCATACATCAGCCATAACATGCAACATAGCTCATATACATATGTTATATAAACAACACAAGCTTCTTAACTCTCAACAAGTTAAACTTTTGAATGGGTTTGGGTTTAAACCCGAAACCAAGTTTGGAAAACCGAGAAACCGAACCCGGTTTGGAATACCCCTTTACTTTGAACTTGGCTCCGCCACTGATGATGTTATAGACAATGTTTTAAAATCTGGTTTTTTAGTTGAACCGGTATGATGACTGGTTTCCGGTTCAATCGGTTTAACCGGTTCGACCGCCGGGTCAACCGGTTTCCATAATTTTCATCTTTTTTCAAAATTTCCTACACATACATACATATATAAATCATGAATTTAACGAGTTCAAACATTAAAAATATACATAAAAATAAGTTGTAGATCAATCTAAATAAATTAAAATAACACATAACCATAAGTTTTAGTGTTTTACATCAATCCATATACATCAAAAAGAAAATAAAATATAATACCGAAACAAAATATATTTTTAGATGAATACAAACATATCAAAAAACATTATAACATTACCATATGTTTTTATTTATAGAAAACTAAATATATTTGAAAAAAATCACCCAAGTTTATTATGCAAATGGTTTTTTCTCAAGTGTTTTTATTCGGTTCAACCGGTTTATTTTGACCGGTTCAACCGGGTTTTTCTAAAAACTGGCCGGTTCAATCCGATTCAAAAATCGACATAAAACCGGTGATATTTGAACCGCTCTCTTCCCCGATTCCCGGTCCAACCGGTTCGACCGGCCGGTTCAAACCGATTTTTAAAACATTGGTTATAGATTGTTAGGCTTGAAATAAATAAATAAATAAATAAAATCTCCACTAAAATCTGTAAACTTATTTGATCTGGTCTATTGGGAGAAAAGCTGCCAAGCTCGGTTCAGTTTAGGCCAATTCGGCCCACACGCCGAGTAGTTTTGTGCAGCTCTATGGATCTATCACATATTCCACATTTCAAAAAAAAAAAAAAAACAAAAAGTTAACGGAGAGCATGTAAAATTCTCTTCGTTCCGTCAATGTTAGTTCCTCTTTTCATGTCGATTTCAACCGGCGACTACAGATTTTTCCTGCTGCTTCTGTAACACTGCACAGCGAGCCTCTCTATCAAAAGAGAAATACTTGCTATATCTTTCCATCTTCAAACCAAAGTGCACACCCTAACAGAAAAGGTACGCCGCAAATGCAATTACTTTTACATCACAACACACACACTCTCTCTGTAATGTGTAGATATATACAATGGAAAAATAAAAACGTGTCTGTGATTCTTGATTTATATTTTGATTTGAGCGGAAATTTCATGAAACTTTAATGATTTAATGGATGTTCATCTCGATTAGAATTTCATCAACTTCGTCAATACGTGAATGGATTGATCGAATCTAATACATCTTCTCATTGACGCCAAATCCTCCCACCTTTCAACTTTAAAACCGATACCAGTAGAATAATGTATGTGTTAAAAGTTACAATAAGAATAGTGTTAAGTCAGACATGAAATTTCACCCTTGTCGATGGTGTACCTATAACAAAAGGAGCATTATATGATTATTGCATATTCTTGTTATTGGTTAATTTTTTTGAAGTAGTATGTTAAATCTCACAACCATTTGAATTTATTTTCAAACTATAATAGAATACAAACAGTTTTTTAGTACAAAATAGTAGAAATGTTGTGATGGTTTATACAAGAGTGGTGAAATAGAAATAAATTATTATTATGAAACTGTTGAAGTAATATTTACCAACAAATAATACAAATAATGTTTAAAGAAATCTTTACATGAACATAGAAAATAGAAAGTTGTGAAAAACCACCTGCAACTAACATTTCCTAGAAGCTACTTATCCTAATCTTATATTAGCTTAGAAAATGGTTTCTTTGGTACTGGTATCATCTTCACAAACCATCCAATAGGCCATGAAAGAGCTGCAATAGCAATACAGATTCCCCACTGCACTCCATTTAATCTATCTGTATCCGCAAACTTCTTTAAAAACTCCACCATAACAACCTGAAGAACAACAGTCATCCCAATAATCCCCAGAAACAACCTGTTCCTATGTATCCCTTTAAATATATTCCTTTTCTCCAGCTTCCTTGAATTAAACTCATTGAACACTTGACACAACACGAAAGTATTAAAAATAATCGTATTCTTCACTCTCTCATCCACGTCAAATATCTCCTTACCCCTGAACTGAAACGTCAGCAGAATGATTATCTGAAAGATCGATTGTGCAAATATGTTTCTCCACATGATGTTGGCTATCAGAGGCTCGACTCTGCCAACTGGAGGCTTGTTTAGGAGTTCATCAGTTGGACGTTCTGTAGCAAGTGCCAAAGCACCCAAAGTGTCCATGATCAAATTCACCCACAACAACTGGACAGCTGTCAATGGGACATCATCCGCAGAAACAGCAGCAATGAAGTTGATAACAAGAGCTGCGATATTAACGGTGAGTTGAAACTGAATAAACTTCTGGATATTATTATATACGCATCGGCCCCACATCAAAACAGTTGAAACAGACGTGATGTCATCATCCAAGATGACAATATCTGAGCTTTGTTTCGCGACTTCTGTTCCTTGAATCCCCATTGAAAGACCGATATCAGCTTCTTTGAGTGCAGGTGCATCGTTTGTTCCATCCCCAGTGACTGCAACCACGTGGCCTTTTCGTTTCAAACACTGCACCATTAGAAGCTTGTCAAAGGGAGAAGATCTTGCCATTACGCGAATCTTATCAACTTTTTTCATTCTTTCTTCTTCTGTTAGGTTACGAAACTCCACACCTTCTATCACTTGTTCTTCGCGTATTTCTTCGCTGGATTCGAGTATTCCGCATTCTGTGGCTATTGCTTTTGCTGTGAAAACATTGTCTCCGGTGATCATTTTGATTTCAACCCCAGCAGACCTACAGGTGTCTATAGCTTTTTTGGCTCCTGGTCTACATGGATCTTTTAGCCCGACAATCCCTAGCAATGTTAAACCTCCTTCTGATAGTGTTTCATCTTGCTTATACGCGAAAGCAATGCATCTTAGGCTACTCGCTGCCATTCCTTCAATTGTTTTCTCGAGTTTTTTTCTCTCATCGTCATCTATAATTGTTATACACCCGTTGCTCTCGTAATAACCTGAGCACATTGCGAGAACCATTTCAGCAGCTCCTTTCCAGTGCACGTGTACAGTGTGGTCCACATCTCGCCTGATTAAAACACCACTACGTTTTTTCTTTGAGTTGAACGTCTCGACGTGTACAACACTCGAACTCTTTTTCAGTTTCTCCATGTCCATTTCCAAATCTGTAACCGCCCACGACAATATCGCTTTTTCAGTTGGACTCCCGGAGTATTCGGTTACATCTCCTGATTTGAAAACCGTACCCGTGGTGTTAAACCCGATTCCTTCGTGTAGAAGTTGAAGGACTTCTCCGGCGATTACATTGGTAGAACTTGAAATATACTCATGGCCGAGCCAGAACTTTGTTACAGTCATGTGATTCATGGTTAGAGTCCCGGTTTTATCGGTGCATATAACAGTGGCTGAACCCATGGTCTCACAAGCTGATAGCTTCCTAACCATGGCTTGATCACTCATCATTCGTTTCATGGAGTACGCGAGTGTGAGCGTGACAGCTAGCGGTAGACCTTCCGGGATGGCCACCACCACGATGGTTACCGCCGCCGAGAAGATACGTGTAACCGAATCGAACACCTCGTTTATATTTGTTCGCTTCCCGTTATACTCTTTATTACCATATTCGTCTTCTGTGTTTCCCGTGAAATAACGAATTAACATAACTGTTAAAACTAGGAAAGCGACACCGAGACCTACCTTTCCGATTGAGGATGTCAGTTTGTTGAGGCGAGCTTGTAATGGTGTTTCTTCGTTATTGTTATCGCTAGTGATTGAACTCATCATTTTTCCCCACGTGGTGTTCATTCCGACTGATAACACGAGCATCCGACAATTCCCATCGACCACTTTGGAACCGGAATACAAGAACGGATTCCGGAGGGAATCGGCATGTAATGGTTCGCTCTCGCCAGTCATGCTTGACTCATCGATTAGAGTGGAATGCCCGTCGATGAACAGCCCATCCGCTGGAATTTGGTCTCCAATGTTTAAAATCACAACATCTCCAACGACTATATCGAATATGGAAATCTTTTGTCTTCTTCCTTCTCTAACAACGTCAATCTTGATATTATCACTTATTTTCGACAAATTGTGGAACTGACCCTCTTGTCGGAAGTTACTAATCGCGGATACAACGATAACAAGAAATACCGCGAGGAATATGCTTCCACCTTCATACCATCCTTCTCCAATTCCGTGTTCTTTGATTCCGAATCCAAGAGAAAGTGTGGCACAACCAAGTAGTATAAGAATTGTTATATCTTTAAAAGCCTCGATAACAAAATAAAGCAAACCTTTTGGAGGTTGCTTTGTGTAAGTATTCGAACCAAACACGGTTCGAATACCGTCTAAATCTCGAGAGTTCATCCCGCTCTCGAGATTAGTTCCGAGCGCATTGGCTAAGCCGTTGACGCCACCAAACTCGTGCAGCTTTTCAAAGTCTTTGTTTTTTAGGGTGTCAGTGAGCTGCGTCGGATTAATATCTGATACATCGCTAATACCCTTCTTGGGAACATGATGTGGGATGATTTCGATGACGGAATAGGAAGGGATGGAGATGATTTCTGAAATTGGTAGTGAGACAATGTTTTTGGCGATGGAAACCATGGTGTTGGAGAAGTAAATGGTGAAGTATGCACGACGCCATCTTTTTTTAGCGATTGTGAGGGTGGTTTTGCTTACGTTGTACAACATGATGCCGATGTCGTGTGTTTGGAATTCTTGTACCATTTTGGTTACAAAAGTTGGAAAATGTGAAAGGGACTGAAAATATGGGTTTTAAGATGGGGGTGTGGATGTATTGTTCCCGACCTAAGGTGGTTATATATCCAAAGTATGTCCAAGGAAACTTCCAAGAACTTGAATTCATATTTATCATCAATTTCCCCCCATCCTGTGAAAGAATATATTTATTTATTATACTCGGTTCATATTTACCCAAAGATTGCTGTACTTTATTATACTCTTTAAGAATATTCCCGGCACCTTCGTTCATAGTAAATACCAAAGTAAGTAAAGACGTATTGGTTTACTTTAGATAACGTATTTTCAAAATCAAAATTTTGATGTTTACGTCATAATAGTTATAAGCTAGCTGTTAAACTTTGATTTTAAAAGTGTATCTTAAAATATAAATTGATAAATACTACGTTCTTTTTACATGTAATTTACTTTTTAAAAGTACATTTTTCTTGAAATAATGAGAATATATAATCCTACCGAATAGTCACGAAAAAGTTCAAATAAGGCACCAAATTCGTGTTAAGCAAATAAAAGGAATGAGGTAGTTTGTTTCTTGGTGTCATGGTGTGTGCGTGACGTTGTTACGTAACTTACGTTGACAGTGACCATTTTTTTATTTTTTATTTATATAATGTGTTGACTTTTTTTTTCAAACAACAATAAATATAATGTGTTAACTTTTTTTTTTCTTATGAAAATCTATTCCGTCAAAACAAACATTAATAAGGATTCTACCGCGTTAACTCTCATTTTTATTTGTTACAATTAAATTAGATTAGAGAAGAATTACTTAACAACAAAGTAATCTCTACTTATATTCAACGGCATGCAGATATATTAAAATAGTGAAACTTAACAATGTATTCTTAAATAAATATAGGTGTGAGAACGAAATATCATAATCCAAACTGGTCGACATTGTATAAAAATTTTACGTTATTGCATATAGTAACCATCACCGTTATTTTACAAAATTAAATTTCTTTATAGAGTCCAAATGAACTGTATAAATTAAAAATGACAAAATTAATTTAATGAAAAAATAGGAGAATAATGTATCAATCGATTAAACTTTTAACTTTATATGTAGAGTTGAATAGTTGTGGATGGCCTAATATCAATAACATGATTTTTTTTATTCCCATTAAGTTATTTATGATAAATAGTCAATAACAATTGAGATCATATTTTGACGTAAAACTGTTTATGGTATGAAAAAAATTTCCAAGTATTCAAAGTCAATCCAAAAAGTACTTTCTGTTGCAAGTTCAACTAAAAGTAGTTTGACTTCAAATGAAATCTAAATCATCAAAAATACAAGGTTCTTGACAAAATTCACCGGTTTAATGGAATTCATATAAAACGGAAATAGATAAATAATAAACCTAAAATCTTTTAAAATTGAAGATATCGACTTCGGAGTCCTAAATAAAAGAACACGAGTCTGAAGCTATCGTGAGCAGCTTGACAAAACGTGAGCTAGTCGACATATTTATATCATTATGTGAAAAGAGAAAAAGGGAATGTTACAGTGACAGGTGCTTTTGCTTCCGGTACGGGTTTACGCGGCGGCAGGTCGGTGAAGCAAAAGCTTATCAAACGGCCGTGGTGCAAAGCCTGATTCACAATAATTATATTTTAAGGGCAATTAATTAGGATACTCAATGAATTTAAATTTTATAATCGGAAAAAAAAAATTGGATCGATCAGATCTAGTTTTATGCTATGTTCCATATTTTTTTTTTTTAGAAAACATTAAATTAAAGGAAAACTCCCTCACCATAAGTTTAAAATTTTATTTTACAAAAAGAAAAAAAAATCAAAAATCAAAAATAACTTCAAATAGCTATTGATAGTTTTTAATAGAGCCAACAAAAGAACGACTCAACCCAACCCCGTACACAACTAGTGTTATACTCGTCCGGTGGATAGATTAACCGATATAAAAGCAATAAATCGATTTTACTTTCTTTTAAAGCATCCTACTTTCATTTGTTACCATTTTAGCATTGGACAATGAGAAATATACCAAATTATATTACATATGAATGAATAAAAGAATATTAATCGATTAAAACACAATAAAATGAAATCAAGTTCAAAATTAAACTATATATAAATATGGATTTTTTTCAAAGAATAAAATTACAAAATCTGATACCATGGCGAGCATCCACAACCTTTGACTTCATGTAACCTTTAATGTTGTCAAGAAGGATCTAACATCATTTGGAGCAATGTATATTTGTTGATGTGTTTATTATAGCATCCTACTTTCAAGTACATTTTTATTTTTTATAAATTATTTTAAATGAAGTATAGAATTTGCAAAAAAATATATTTACCAAATTTAAGAAACATAAAATATAAATTATTCATAATTTAACAAAATAGACGACAATAATTACCATTGTTGTTAACACTTTTGACAATATCAATTCAATATATGGTTAGAACAACTATTGGCATGAAGATAAAACCCGATAAATAAATTCTCAACTTGTGACATCCCAAAAATACAGTCTAAAAATTCCATTCTAAATCATTAATAAACCATAGTTATCCAAAACACATATAAAAATCATAGATCGTGTGTAACATCCTGACTCCCAGGTACTTCATTTATTTATTTAATGAGTGACTCGACGAGTTGGGTGTTCGACTCGTCGAGTAGAGTTGGTTTGAGCACGTGGGTTTAAAGACCGACTCGACGAGTCAGGGAGCCGACTCGCCGAGTTGGCGCTGTAAGATGAAACCCTAAATCTACGAGGTTGGGACCTATTTAAAGGAACTTATGTCCTCATTTCCGCCTCACCAGCTACCCAACTCCCCTGTGTGAAACCCTAATCGGCCATTGGAGCTAAGAGAGTGTGATAGAGCTAATATTTGAGTGTTTTGGTGAATCATTGAAGGAGAAGAGGAGAGTATCAAAGCTTGGACCAAGAGGAGACTTTGGATCTAGAGGTACATCAGAGTTTTGCTTCAGTTGGAGGTAAAAAGATGCTAACTTGATCTTTCTTTGTGTAGATCTTGGTTTGGGGGAATGTTTAGGGTTTTCTCCCATCCACTTTGTGTTATTGAGCCCCTTGAGCATGATTTGAGGTTGAAACCTCAGATCTGGAGTGTAGGAGGTCTTGTGAGTCCAAAGACCCGAACTTTATTGAGCTAGAGATAAGATCTTGTGCATCTAACCCTTGTGGGAGCTTGATTTGGCATTATGGAGCAAATATGCCATGCATGAATGTAAAGATTGAAGCTTTACGTCATAATCAAGCCTTAGGAAGTCAGATCTGGAGTATGGGGCATGGGTTCTGCCTTAAAGCTTCTGAATGAGAATTTGACTTAAGGGACTCGACGAGTCAATGAGCTGACTCGACGAGTCGGCTAGGGTTTTCACGATGAGATTCAACATGCGATAACTCGACGAGTTGATGGGTCAACTCGGCGGGTTGAGTTGGACTTCATGAGGATTCTGGAGGACCAAAGGGACTCGGCGAGTCACACAGGTGCACTCGGCGAGTCGGGTCAACATGGACTGTTGACTCGAGTGTTGACTTCTGTTGACTTTGGGGTTTAGTCAAGACAGGGATTATGGGGACCATGGAGGGGTAAAATGGTCTTTTAACCATTCCAAGAGTTAGAGAGAGAGAGAGAATAGCCTTTGGTTTATTAGAGTTGTGAACAGAGTATTAATTAGAGATAATTATCCTATGTGTTAGGCGGAGGCTAGATCGGTGATTCGTGTACGAGGTGTATCTGCTTGCTTGCTTCAATGTAACATCCATAAAATTTGCGCCAATTTAAAACTTTTTAAATCATTTAAAACCATTCAGTCATTACAATTTGTTTTCAAAATAATTTAAACATCAGAGTTCCCAGAAATCATAATCATCAATTGAGGAAGTGTACGGTCACGCTTTCGCCTTCCCGCGGCCATCCGCTGAACATGAAACAATAAACTAAAACTGTAAGGCCGAAAGCTTAGTGAGTTACCCCCAAAATACCAACCTCATATAACCATAATCATATCATATCAAAAAAATACAGAACAACATACATAATGAGCCGTCAGCCTGCTGGACCGCCTCACAGGCCTTCAGTCTATCTGGACTGCTCTCCGAGCCTTCGGTACGTCTGGACCGCCCCGCAGGGCTTACAGCCTATCCGGACAGCTCGTCGGGCCTTCGGCCTGACTGAATCCCTTTGCAGGGCCTTCAGTTTATCCGAACCACCCTGGGTATGTTGGCCTTCGGCACAAAGCAGGACCGCCTCAAGCTAACCCCAAATCAAACAAACATGTGCACATAAATATCATACACTTGCATATATATATGACAGTCATACCGATCTAACAGATCATCAATCATAGCAACATCTTATAACCAGGATACTGACCTAACCAGGTCACTAACATAGCATCATCCTATATACCAGGATACCGATCTAACAGATCATAACAGCATACAACATCCTATCTACCAGGATACTGATATAACAAATCATAACAGCATACAACATCCTATCTACCAGGATACCGATCTAATAGATCATAACAGCATACAACATCCTATCTACTAGGATACCGATCTAACTGATCATAACAGCATACAAGCATACTATAACCAGAATAACAATCCAAAGGGCCGGCCTTGGTGCCTTAGACCCTGTTGATATAGTGAGGATAACTCACCTCGCAACTGATGCGCTGAAGTGATAAGCTCAACTCTCGAATCACCGTCACAAACTCCACCACCTATATCCACCATAGAACCATATTCGTAAGTTTCCAATTTCCCAAAAATGCTCCCAGAAGTCAAATAGTCAACCCTTGGTCAAAGTCCAAGTCAATGGTCAAGGTCAACAGTCCATGTTGACCGGACTCGCCGAGTTCATGCGTGTCCAAAGTCGAGAAAACCCTAGCTGACTCGCCGAGTCCACGACAATCTTAATCGGACTCGCCGAGTTGACCATCCAACTCGTCGAGTCCC